CCGCTGGGAGGGCGTGGCCAATCGGCCCCAGCCGGACCCGCTGGGAGGGCGTGGCCAATCGGCCCCAGCTGGACCCGCTGGGAGGGCGTGGCCTCGCCAAACACCTGCACCTGAGCGGGAGGTCCCCCCTGCCCTGTCCTCCCGCAGCCAGGAGGCCCTGACCCCGGGCCAAGCGCCCCGAGCCGGGTCTGTGTAACTGGTGGAAGTGGACAGGACACCTACAACAGACCATTTCACCACCCAACTGTCTCCCCCGACCCCAGGGTGACCCCAAGGCATCCCCCGCGGGCTCGACTTGGCCTGTCCCCACATTCCGGCCGGTGGTGCTCCAGGCAGGGCTCCAGCCGGCTTTGCTCGGGGAGCCGGTGGTGGGGTTCACCCCGTCAGAACCTCCTGTCTTCACCTCCGGGAGGACGCTCCAGCGTGTGTCCCGCCCTGCTCCCACATGCCCAGCCCTGCACCGTCTTCCCCAGCTCAGCCCTTGGTGAGGGCATCTCTGCACCTGTGGGGCCAGTGTGCACCCCAACACCTGCTTCGGCCTTCGGGGACTCTTGTGGGAGTGGACTTGCTGCCACCTGCTCACACCGCCCGCCGCCAGGGGCCCGCGTCCAGCCTGTGCAACTTTGAAGCGGCGACACCGTGGGCTTCTGCGGTCTCTCCTGGCGAGCTGGCCACTCCTGGTGCCCGTCCAGGAGTGGTGGGTCGAGGGTCGCACCTGAAGGGGCCGGGGCTAGCCTGGCCGGACATGGCTGGGGTGCCACCCCCTTCCCAGCACCAGCGCTCGGCCTCGGTCCGGGCTGCCGGCCCTGGGCTGCTCCCGGCCGTGGCTGGCCTGGCTGACACCATCCCCTTGCTGGCGGTCGGGCACTGGCCACGGGAGGGTCCCGGCCCCCCTGGGTCCGCGCGCCCCTCCGCTCTCAGCATGCTGGGGAGGGCCCTGCGCCTTGCTAGCGCCCTCTGGCCGCTTCCGCCTTTGGGTTCCAGACCCAGCCAGGGGGAGGGGGGCGGACTTCTGTCTGGGGGGGCTGGTGTGAGGCCGCGAGAGCTGGGACTAAGACCCAGGTTCCATGTGGGGATGCCCCTGTGCCCCCATTTCCGGGGCTGGGACAAGAGCACGTGTCTGCATATGTGGGTAGGGGGCGCAAGTTGGCGGAGGCTGGTGTGTCCTTTCCGGGGGGGCCCCTGGATGTGCCCCGGACATCTGTTCCCAGGAAGTCCATCTCCTGGCCCCCACGCACGCCCCTTGTCAGTCGTCCCCAGCACCCACTGCCCCAGCACCACCCCGGGCCCGGGGACGGGGGCAGGGAGGGTCAGAGCCCGGCTGGGGCTCAGGCCGCGGGCAAGGGGCCCCGCGACTGTCCCTGGCCCGCCGCTGGCAGCAGCTTGGGGGCGGCCTCTCGGCAAATTTGAAGGGCCCTGGGGAGTGAGGCGCGGGGCCTCAGGGGTGAGGGGCGTGCCCAGCCTGGAGGGTCACTGTGTTGAAAGCGGGGAGGCGTGGAGAGCGGGAGCACTGAGGGGTCTGCACCCACTCGGCGGCCTTTGGGGGAGGAACAGCCGCAGCAGCTGGGCCCACAGCCCCCACTGAAGAACCTCGCGACCCACTTCCGGCTCCCCGAGTGGGTGGGGCCCCTGCCGCGGGTCTCACGCCGGAGACGAGGACCAGGGAGGCGGAGGGGTGGCGGGGGCAGCCTGAATGCAGGCGTGGGGCTCCAGGGAGGACTGTGGGCCCTGGCGGGCTGCGGTGTCCAGCGAGGGACATTCGCCGGTGGCCTTGCTGCCCGCCGCAGGACGCGGCTCGGACCTCCGGGACACGGGCCCACTCGGGGGGCCCGGCTGGGCCCCCGCCGCCCGCCCTCGGAGGACAAAGAGGATGGGCTGCGTGTCCCTCTTACCCCGGAGACCCCGCGGCACGAGCTCTGTCCTGGTCCGCGAAGCGTCTGCAGGAAGGAGCCCCCGCGGCCGTCTGGCCACCTGCCGCGGCCCGGCCTCTCTGGCCCCTTGGGGGGCTCCGTCCTTCAGTCGTCCCCTTTCCTGCTGGAGAGGCTGCTCAGCATGGGCCTCGGGGGTGTCTAAGCGGGCAGACGGCGTGGGGACCCCAGCTTGTGCCCAGGAAAGGGCACAGCCTTGCCCGGCCCCCGGCGCGGGGTGCCCGCGCGGGACTGGCTTTGCGGGAACGTCCTGGCCACGGCCGGACGGCAGTAACGTCATGGTCCGGCGAGGGCTGTGGGACTTCATGGTCACTGTCTCCTCTGTTTCCAGCTTCTATACACTGCGGATTTGTGTTTAAAAAGGAGAAATAAATAAGCGAAGCTCTTCTCCATGCTTCACACCGCTGGCCTGGGATGCGTGGGGTCCCCCTGCGGCTGGGGAGAAGGCGGGGCCCTCAGTGCTGGTGTGGGGACAAGAGGAGCCTGGAGGGGACAAGAGTGAGCCCCTCAGCCAGCTGCCGGGCGGCGAGAGGCTGCGGGCTGCTCCCAGGGGCCCACAGAGCCTGGGAGCTGCTGAGGCAGCATCTGCTTGTTTAGAGGGGGCAGCAGGGGGCAGGGCCAGGCGAGGCCGCCAGGAGGGGCCATGGGAGGCTTTTTCTGACAGCAAAGCCATTCGGATGAAGCCGGGCTCCCCAGGCTCCTGGCTCGCCCGCCCTGGGGCCTCTGCTGAGGCTGCAGCCTGGCCTAGGGGGCACCCGGGGGCCTCGGGAAAGCCCCGGGCTCAATCAGGCCAGTTCCAGTCCCACTGTGCCCCAGGTTGGCCGCAAGTGTGACCCCAGGGGCTTGCCCCGGCCCCACCCCTGCACCCCTCACCTCCAAGCCCCTCCATGGATCTCTCCCGGGGCAGTCATGCCCCCGGCTGCGACTGTGGGGTGGGGGTGGGGGTCCTGCAGAGTGTCAGGACTCTGGCACCGGTCAGCTGGGGGCCAGGGATGTCCCTGCCATCCCCTAAGGCCCGGGACAGCCCCTGCCCTGTGCCGACCCCTGGAATTATCCAGCCCCCAGCCGACAGCACCGGGGTGAGGGGATCTCTGGGCCTCAGGGGCATACCTGCGGGGTGGCTGTGCCCAGCGCTGGTCCCCGCTGGCCACCACTTTCAGGCCTGATGGCCACTGGAGGCCAGCCCAGCCTGGGCCGCACTAACCTTGTTTTCTCCTTCTCCCCGCTGCCTGGAAGATGTCAGTTTTCCAAATGGCCACTGGCAATGTTCCCTCCAGCCTCTGGCCAAGGTCAGGGCCTGAGCAGGCCCTCGGGGACCCGACTGCCACTCTGATTTACAATGCGCTCCCCTGCGGGCCCTGCTGGCAGCGAAGTCCAGGGCCGCTGACACAGCGTGGTGGGCGGGAGGTCGGGGAGGACAGGCTGGCCACTCAGGCCCTCCTGCCTGCCTCGCAGGCCCGTGGGGCACACTGGGACACACCCAGGGCACATGAAGGAGCCCCCCCCCCCCGCCGGGACCAGACGGCCAGGTGACAGCTGGTAGCCACCGCGCCCCTGGAGGCATGGAGCCTCCAGATGAGGGGCCCAGGGTCCCCCGGCCCCCCGGGGCGCTCCCCTCCTCACCCTCTTTCCTTCCTCCCTCCATCGGCTTCACTGCAGGACCAGGAATCCTGGCCACCTGCCCACTCCGGGCCTGCCCGAGCGCTTGGGGCCTCCGACCGGGGCTGGTGGCTGTCCTGATGGGGGCCGAGGGTGTCTGTGAACAGCCGCCAGTGCTGGTGTCCCTGAGAGCTGTGCTTGCTGGCTGCCTGAGCGGGCCGAGGAGCAGCCAGTTCTGGAAGACCCGCCCAGCCCAGCCCAGCCGACCCCCGGGGTGGCGGGGGAGGTCAGTGGTCTGCAGGTAACAGAAAACCCAGTGCCACTGCTGTGATCACATCAAGGTTTATTTTTCTCACCGTTGAAGAGGTGGGGAGGTCGCAGCCGGGGCTGACGTCCCCGACTCGACTCTGCTGGGCCCTCAGAAAAGCCACTTCCGCTTCCAGCCCCGCCATCCTGAGGGGGGTCCGCTGGCACCCAGGGGTGCTAAGCGGCCCCTCCCCAAGCCCCACTGCCTGGATCCCTGAATGAAGAGGGACAAGAGAAAAAACTCGGAGCCCAAAGTCTTGACCAGTGGAACGGGGTGGGGAGTGGGGCCAGGGGAGGCCTTTCAGGAGCTCTGCAGAAGCCCTGCCCGTCGCTCCCACTGGGCATCACAGCCAGAGCTGGTCGGCCCCTCCCACCCGCCGGAGCACCGGTGTTTCATTTTAGCTGGGCTGAGTGGGGCTAAGAGGGTCAGGGTGATGCAGCTGGGGAGCGGCGGGGGGTCTGACCTAAGGCACTTCCCTGGGGGTCGGGAGCTGCCCTGCACCCGGTGTTGGGGGCCGGGAGGCATGGTCGCCGGGCTGAGGCGAGGGCCACCACCTCCCAGTCCCTTCTCGTCCGCACTGTGGCCTCTCCATCCTCAAGGCCGAGGCCGTTAAGCGGGCTTGTGGACCACTTGACCAGTCCAAGCAGCCAGAACCCCAACAGCACTGTGGGTCACAGAATCTCTGTGCTCCTGAAGGAGGTGGGCATGGAGAGCCCCGGCGTACCCCCGAGGCCCCAGGGCCTCATGGCACCTCACACGCCTAGGCTGCGCCTGGGTCGGCCCCACTGCGTGTGCCAGGGCTGCTGGCCAGCTGGGCCTTGGGGGCAGGCGGGGGCGGGGCTGGGGCTGGGGCATGAGAGGACACGCCCACCCACGAGGACACGCCCACCCACGAGAGGACACGCCCACCCAGATCGTGCCGTCAGATGTCTGCTGGCCACTCCCGACTCCTAGGCACCCTCAGCGAGGCTCCGAGTCCTGTTATGTAGGGGGGACACTGAGGAAAACTGGCAATGGACTTTGCATATGGGGGGCTGAGAGACTACCTCCCAAGTTTGGGGGTGCTCCTACCACTCCGGTCATTCGGCAGTGCTGCTGGGCAGAGGCCTGAGAACACTGGGGGGCGGGCGGGAGGAGGGGCCTGGGCAAGCGGGGTCCTGGCAGTGAAGTCTGTTTTATTGAGGCTATTTTCCGGCTCCTCTTGGAAACCCAAAGCTACAGGTGCAAACCACACGGAAAGAAAGCAGCCCCACACAGCCTTGAGCAGATCCTTTACTCGAGGGCCAGCGGCCGCCAGCCGGCCAGCCGCCTTCCCGGGCTTGACAACAAAACAGGTCTCTACAAAGCGGGGACCCCCTGCCCGCCCCAGCCCGGGTCTGGCAGTCGCAAAGGGAACAGACTAGAAGAGCTGGAGGGAGCCGCTCGTGCCGGTGGCCCGAGGGCCCCGCGGGGGCTCTGCAACCGTGGTGTGTGCCTGCGCCGGTGGGGTGGGCGGTGCTCCCCCGCCCCTTCTCACCGCCAGCAAATAATGCCAATAACAACAATAAGGAAAGAGTGGCGGTTAATAGAAAAACTAAGACCAAAATGCAGGCCTGGGGGCCAGAGCCCCACGGCGCCCCGCGGCGGCGGA